TTTTTTTTGAAGATATTTCTGGTGTACAACATAGCTTGCTTCTGCTTCGAGCTGCAGTTCCGATTTATCGAAGACGACACGACTTTCGACTGGCTACCCTCGATAGGATATCTACTGCCATATGAGAAAATAAAATTACTTAGGATGTTATTCCCCATTGTTTTTTTTATCAGCATATGTTCCTCAGCGTACGCGTACACAGACAGAAATGCTACGTTGATTTATTTAATGCGATCCATTTTGGCCACGAACAGAATCGTCTTCGAAAGATCAAATGACGTCGTCGATTCGACTAACTATTTAAAGAAAAATGGAGAACAGCTCGTTTACAAGTTACAGGAAATGAGGAAAGCAGTTGAAGATGGTAAATATGCGCAGGCAAAAATAAAAGACAAGGAACAGAAGGATGAAACAGAGTGCTTGGAAGATGGCAAAAAGGACCCCAAGGACCAACATAATGCAGACGATAAGCTGCGAGACAACGTGAAGGAGTTTGCCTTAACCCTTGATTCGCACCAAATGGGCCTACTTGAAAAGTGCTTTGAAATGATGAAGAATAAGAACAGCAAGGATAAGAAGAACCAGAAGAAGTCCTGGTTCGAGTTCTTCTCCATGCAAATGATCTTCGGCATTATATTCGTGTATATCTGGTTAACCTCGAAGTGAAGGCAAGTGGGAGTGGTATAAAAGGTAGAAGTGAAAATCGGAAGGAAAAATCGGTAGTAAACCGTAAATAAACCGTTAGCGTATTGCTAGCGAGCCGCTGGCCAGCCCTCGGTGATGCCCACTTCGCAGCTTTGGCGCGCCACCCTGGAAGTCAGCCAAGAATTAAACGAGACGATGCGTATCGATCTGATTATACAAAACGAAACAGTGGAACCACGTTATAAAAATTCAAAAGCAGGCACATTTTTGTGCGGCGTGTGTTTATATGTAGGAAAAATTAAGCACGCGTCAAAATTCGAATTGGAGAAAGGAGGAAGAAACGGTAAAGATAAAAAAAAAAAAAAAAAAAAAACAATCCCAGTAATTTTTTTTTTTTTTTTTTTTTTTTTTTTTTTTCCACAAGGGGTTCATTATGTAAACATTGGCGTGGTCAAAATTGGTACATATAGGGCAGGGGGAATAAATACATT